GTGGGTTTGATGGGACAAAGAATAGATATATGTGTGCAGATTTGATAAAGATTGCTGCCAGAGGCTTACATTAATTATTAGGCACATCACATTAATCTATAGAGCTTTCTAAATATGTAATTATAGGCAGTCACTTAACCCAGATGAATCTTGGGGGCAGAGTTAATAGCACTGATGTCATTAAAAAGTACTTGTATTCATCCACTCACTTTATAGTCTTAATAAGGGTAGTGAGCATGGGAAACAGAAATAGTAATAATTCCTATTATTTCCAGATATCTGGCGCAATGTTTGTGGGGTGTGTGGGCAGGATTTCTAAATTATCTGGGAGATTTTTCAAATGACATCTGCCACTCCCAATGCCTTCCTAAGATTCTGGTTCACCATCTCCTCCCTCTTACCTCCAACATACATCCTCCTCTGAGGACATACCCCCCTTTCACTCTTCCATCGCATGGGCCCACAGTGAGATAGTCATGAATGGGAGGGAAAGAATCTCAGAGCAAAGGATAGTTCTTCAAATTTAAAAAAAATGGCCTAATGGAAAATAATTATCACAATGCCTTTATTTTTCTCCTTTTGCAAGAAGTCAGAGAAAACATTCTCATGAGACACCGCTGGTCAACAACTTGGCATTTGAAGACCCCTGTACTCTTCTTTCCCACCTTTCACTCAAGAAAATTTACAGGTAGCTCCTCAAATTTGAGACTTTCCTCCAGTATTTTGTGTTGTCACTCCTCAAATGTCAAAGCCTTTTCTGCTCTTGTACTCGGTCATTTCCCTGTCTTCTTAGTGTTCTTTCTTCTCCATCTTGGTTTCAAAATCCAATTCATGCAAAGAGTAATGTCTACTTCTTTCAGAAAGACTTCTTTAATTATTCTACTCCACAATTACAATCTCACCCTCTTCTCCACTTAGCATCTCACATGTTTTTTGCTACCACCTTCAGATCTACATGGTAAATTCTTCCAGGTCATAGACTCTGTCTAAACTTTGGTTGTATCACACACAGCTATCACAGGACAGAATAATGGCAGATACACATTCCCTCATTCATCTCTCAAACATACTACATGTCGACTCTATTCCAGGCCATGTGCCAGAGACTGGAAATATAAAAACGTGCCTGAGATAATCCTTGCCCATGGGGAAACCAGAGTCTAATTACACAGATAATTAAAATAAAATATGATGTGTTGCAGTTTGTGAATAGTCGATAAATTCAGCAAAATCATCAGTCAGAGGAAGTTAGAAAACTTCATTCTCTGTTTCCCCTTCCACAATTCTTGTCTGTAGATAAAACTCAATGGTTGGTAAAGTGCGTAAAAAGTGGGTGTAACTAGACTCCTAAGATACTGAGGGCTCCTGAGAAATCATAGAGCTAAAGCCAAAGGAATCCCTTTCCTCTCCAATGTCTTTGATTCAGAAGGGGAAGAAAGCCAAGGTTGTAAGAAACTATAGCAATTATGCAAAACTGTCAGGGGTCCAAGAGAAACACAAGGTCATATAAGCAGATAAAAAGGTGAGACGTAGTGGTAAATGAGCCCAGAATAGAACAATGGCCTCATAGACACTCAGAAGGGAGCTGGGGGAAGGGGAGGATGAAACTGAGGCGGTGCCCAGAGGACTTGGGAAGGGCTTCAGTCTCAGAGCAGCTGTATACAGAAATCAGGAGGCATCAGGGCTTAAATTCAAAGGAGAGAAAAAGAAAACAAATGCGCAAGCTTCCTTTTCTTCATCAGTCTCTGCCTTGGCTAGAGCAGCCCTGGCTTTGGGTCCATCAATTAGCAGTCTCAATGGGGAGACCAGGATAAAGCTGGTAACTCCAAGGAGTCTGATTCTAAAATTTGGGGATCCTTGGCCCATCCTTCAAATACCTGGCGAGATGTTTTCTTGAAAGAGCTGGCACAGAAGGCCTCTTGCAGAGGGCAGTTCCTCTTTATTCTCACACTTGCTGCTGAGCCCTGGGCTTAGATTTCTGTCAGTGAACACTTGGAGCCTTGCTGGTAGTTTGTCTCTAATAGGTGTGTGGTCCTGGGCAAGCCCCTTGAAGTGTCCTCTTGGAAAAAGAGTGTTGGGCAGGATGTCCTTTAGGGTCTTTTCCAACTTGGAAGTTCTAGGAGTTCAGTAGTTTCAAACTGGAAAATCATCTCCTCCTGGACCTGAAAGAGAAAGAAACATGGCATCAAAGGATCAGTGTGGGGGGACACCTCAGCCCCTTTTGGGGGGACAGTTAACTTTTGCATCCTTATTTATAAGGCCATATAAATAAATAATTGCCTATGCTCATGAACAGTTTGGAAAACTTTCACTGGATCTTCCTTTATTATATCCACCTGGTTTTAAAACCCACTTCTACTTGGTCATAGAAATGCTTGGATGTCATATAGAAGCCTAGGCTATTACATGTGCAAATCCTAGGAAGTTTAGAAATTCTCTCAAGCCATGTAGCCTGATAATGATCAAGTTCAGACAATAGCCCAGTCCTCCCCTTCCATAGCGCAGTCAGCCCAGGCGCCCTTGTTCACACATGCCAATTCAGGGCAAAGCCCCAAGACTGAAAATCTACCTTCCTAAGCAAATGGCAGGGAAAGAGCCAAGAAACAGGCAGGTTACTCCAGCCTGATAATTAATGGAGTTTATTAAGGGAAGCTTATGTATGAGGTGTGTCTTGGGCAGTTGCAAGATAAAATGGATCCCTGTGCCTCTTGGCAGGGACCAAAGAATGGTGTAGGGCAAAGGGAATAGTCACAAGTACTAATACATGAATACTACCAGGTACAGGAAACTGCTTTAATGCTTGACCAGGTCAGACAACTTGTTCCAGGAAGGAGCACATAGCAGAAGGCAAGGAAGGGGTATTGGTTTATGTCGGAATGGACATCACTTACAGTCAGACAGTCTCTAAGAGGTTTTGCACAGGACGACCTCCATTCTGGACCTGGTCCAGCTTGCAGGACACACAGCAGTCATGGAACAGTCTCTCCTCCACACCCCGACCCTCAGGCCTAATACTATTCATCAAATTTTCATTAAGTGATAACCCTATAGTCAGCAAAGTGCTACACGTGGCGGAAGATCCTTGTCCTCAAGGAACTTCTGTTCCAGTTGGGGAAACTGGCCTTAAAACAAACACGAACAATGCAGAAGCACCAAGGTCTGGAGCAGAATCGGAGAGTCCTACAAGGTGAAGAAAATGAAGCTCACTTTTCTTAATGTTGTACTTTTGCAGAAATCAGTTAAGACAAATAGGACAAAGAACAGATATGAGGTCAGAAACAGGGATCAGTGGGAGAGGGGTGGTAGGAAGGGGAGACACAAAGATGTGGTCCCAGTTCTGTTGGGAGGATTGAAATGACAGAGCTGTTACTGTCCCCTTTCAAATAACCTGGATTTTCCAAAATTCAACTTTTAGTTCACAAGTAGGTATCTTTCTTTTGAGACGGGAGTCCAGAAGACTTAGGACTAACCTCTAAGTTGGGCTGGAGCATCGGACACATTCACAACTTATGGTAGATGGTAAAAATGAAATCCTTTGACTTAGTTCAAAGCTCTTCTCTACCAATGGTTTTATTGTAGAAATCTTGTGGGACCAGCTACTGTCACTTCTTATTGGTTGCATGTTTTTTTTTTTAAATAGTCCATAGTTGAGCTATTAAATGATTAACTGCTAATGACACATATTTTCCTTTCATTTATTTCACACTAGCAACATGTTTGTTTCTTTTATTTTCTCTCCTAATGTCTTTGTGGAACAAACAGCCTTTCAACAAGAGTAAAATATTGTAGGAAGAGATATCGCCAGAGACTAACACACCCCTTGTTTTCATCCCCCCCTTAGTTTTTATGTCAATGCATTTGTATTTTTACCTAATTACAATCATTCTGTTGATACTATTGTGTAATCTGATTTTATCCTTTATACTACAAACATTTTTCATAGACCTTGTGATTATTATTAATGGCTGCATAATACTCCACAAAATGGATGTTACATTTTTTGTTAGCCATTTTCCCATTCTTGGCCCTCGAGGCTGTTGTTAACCTGTCAGTGTTATTCAGCTCATCTGTTTAGATGTGATTGTTACAACACATACAAATGTCTTTGAAATTATTGTTTCTTGGAAAATGAAATAAACAAGCAGTTCCAGCTACACTGTGTATCTACCAGATGAAAAGGTGGTGCCCAGACTCTAAAAGCCAGGTGTGGATAATAACTGGTGGGTAATTGGTTGGTGGGTCGATAATAATTCTTCCCATGACAGGGTGGTCAAAGCACCAATAGTTTGTAACTAAGATAACAATGACATTTATTTCCATGATTAATGACTAATGAATCAGTAGAAATAGTCCTTGGTGCCTGTTCTAGCTTCCTCTTTCCTGCCCCTTAATGGCAAAACTGCATAAATGGGGACAACGCTGTTAGCACTTTTCCATTAGACTAGCAATTAGCATCACTTAGTTTGGCTTCTAAGCATCAGTTCCTGAGGCCGAGAGGAACGTGCTCTTCTCCAGGCAGAAGGAAGAAGGTCTTCTGCTGTGTTTACATAGCAGGTGGGGGGATAGCAGGGTGGGAATTACAACAGGTGGGCACTGGTATATATAGCAGGTGAGGGAGGTGGGCTACATATTGTCAGTCTGGCCCTTCCAGAGTCTTCCTACAGAAATGAAGGAAGTCCATGAAGAAGTATTTTACACTTTGCGGGGAAGGGGGATGGGGTGGCAGCTGTCACGTGCGCTGGATGGAGAAGTCTGCAATGAAGGTGAGGGAGGGAGTTGAGGCGAACTCCCCCTGTTGATGAGTTAAGGGGACTGGCTGAAGGGTGGGCCGGGGAGGGGACCCTTGGAAGCAGTTGTGCACTCCGGCCGCCGGCGGGGAGCAGGGGGGAGCTGCTCGGACCAGACGGCACGGTGCGGGCGGAGGGCGGGGCTCGTGGTGGCAAGGCCGGAGGGTTGGCCCGGAGGCGGGGCTTGTGCTCCAGCTGCCGGAATCCCGGCGCTGTCCTTTGGGTGCGTCGGCTGCCTGAGCTCTGTGCAGTTCCCTGCAAGCCTCCCGCGGCATCCCAGTGCCACCATGCTCCTGCTTCTGGGGCTGTGCTTGGGGCTGCCGCTCTGCGCGGGGTCGCTGGAAGAGCCACGGAGTTGGAGTGACACTTTAGAGCAAGTAAGTGGAAATCTGGTGGGACCCAGGGAGGGACCGGGCGCTGGCTGTTGTCCCTTCCCAGGTCCTCCTTTGAGCGAGTGCCCATTGGACAAGCTCCTTTGACCAGTGGTAGACGCTGGGAAGGGAGATACGACCCCCTATCCTGTCACTTCGTCCCCTGCTTTTCTTCTCTGTTCCTCAACCTCCTGCGAGGGAGCTTCCCTATCTATTTATTGGTCACTTGTGACCAGAGTCTGAATGGTGAAGTTTCCTGCAGAACTGTGCCTGGGACTTCAGAGTCCTGCAGAACCAAATCTTCTGGGCTCCTATTATCGGCACAGATTTCTGCTAGTTTTTTGTTGTTGTCATTTCTGAGCCAAAGTCCTCAGTTAATGAATTATAAGAATCTTCTTTAAGAGGCTGTGTGGGGTAGTGTGTTGTTACTGTTCCTCCTACCTGTTCAGAGAGAAAGCACAATCTAGGGAAAGTTCCAAACTCCTGAAAGCCTTGCTTTTTCCATCTGAAAACTGGGAGAACACAGACATTCCACCAGGTGGTTGAGGACCAAGAACCAAAGGGCCTCAGTACTTCTAGTCAATATTCTGTGCATCTCCCAGGGTTTGTGTTTTAAGTGGCTTAATCTCACAGATGGGTAAAACTTGCAAACATGAAACCCCAATACAGTGTCTGATGAACAGAAAAGCTCTTTGCAAACTATCAAATGAGTTCACATGAATATCAATATAAAGACCTGATAGGGAGAAGTGGCTCTGTCCCAAGCAGATAGTGCATACCTACACCTCCTGGCGCTGTTTACACATACATCACTTAAATTATTTTCAAGTTGTTTCATCAGAAGCATGTTATTACATGATGGGAAGAGATAAGTAGGCATATGTCCTCCACCCCTTTTACACCTTGGTTTACAGAACAGATCCAGAAGATGGAATCTGCCTAAACATCAGATGATCTTGTTCTTGTTGTCTGCCTCATGGATATGCTTCCTGCAAAATGGAAGAAATGGTCATTTTTTTGTAGGGCTGTCAGAAGGGATGACCCATCAAAATTCCTGGAGGCTGTGCATGGAGTAGGGGAAGCACAGGCTGTGGGTCCAGAGAGAGAGGCTGGTCTTGGCCATTTGCAGTTGTGTGGCCTGGACAAGGGTCTAATCTCCCTGCCTCTTTCTTTCCTGTTGATCACAGCAGGAAGTAGGTCTCCTTTCAAGAAAACTTGTAATGATTCAGCTGCTGGTCTGTGGAAGGTATTCAGTAGGTACTCAATAAATGGCAATGTTTTTTTTTAAAGATTTTATTTGTTTATTTTTAAAGAGGGAAGGGAGGGAGAAAGAGAGAGAGAGAGAAACATCAATGTGAAGTTGCTGGGGGCCGTGGACTGAAACCCAGTGATGTACCCTGACTGGGAATCGAACCTGCGATGCTTTGGTTCACAGCCCGCGCGCAATCCACTGAGCTGTGCCAGCCAGGACTATGGTAATGTTTTAGTAAGTGGTTAAGGGTGTGGGCATGGTGCCAGGCAGCCGGAGTTTAATTCCTACATCTGTCCCTTACCAGCTCTGTGACTCTGGGCAAGTTACTTGGGACTTCAATGTCCAATTCTGTTAAATGTGGGAAATAATACACTTAAAGTGCTTAGAACAGTGTCTGCACTCAGTGTGGCAGTGGCTGGTAGGCCTGGGCAGCTGAAGTGCTGAGGAAAGGAATTTAGGGTAAAGATTGTAAAACGGTTTTTGGGGGGATGGAGGAAGGAGAGTGTGGGAAGAACTGAAACAAAGATTCTGTTTATGGACTAGGAGGAGGGATTAGAGCTCTAACATCTGCAAGTCCAAATAGGCCGTGAACACTGTCTGAACTCTCCCACACAAAATATGAAGGGCTTGGCCCATCTTAATGATTTCATGCTGTCTTCAACCCATGACCCTACTTATTCATCTCAAAAATGACTAAGTCAGAAAAAAATCCAAGATATATAGTCCGTGAAAATGAACAATTTTACCTCTTTATTATGACTCTATTAAAATTTATCTACTATCTTCTGTCTGTCTATCTATCTATCTAGTGTGACGTAGGATTCCAGAGCACAGGCTGCAGAGTCAGGTTTTCTGGGTTGGTCTGGGTCTGCACTTCCTGGAGAGTTAGTGTCTACGAGCCTCTATTTCCCCATCTCTAGAATGTGGATAATGAGATGACTCAATTAAAAGGACTTTGAAAATTGAGAGAATTAATAGTACACTTAAACCTGAGAACAGTATGTGGAAATGTACTTTGTCCTCTATTTGCAGAATTGTGGTCTTCAAAATTATATGTAAACTCGATTTGTCTTTTTTTTTTTAACACATGACATATTTTATTCTCCACCCTGTGCCAGAGGCCCCATTGTCATTTGGTAAAACGTTAAACACCCTCTGTCCCAGGCCCTCACCCTCTGGCTCCTTGTGATGCTTCTCTATTATTTCTTTATGGCACAAACATCAGAAAGATGTGCAGTCATCTCTGGGAGCGTGTGTGAGGTACTCCTTTCACTGTTTTCATTAGTGTGCATTTGACCTACTTCCGATTTTTCTTATGTAACTCAAAACTGCAGTTTCAGAGAAGTTCTCTTATTTGTCTTTTACCTTTAATTGGAGGTATTACTAATACCATCTCAGTAATGGATTCAGATTCCTTTCTGACTTTCCCTCTGCCTTACCTGTAAACAATATTACTCATAGCAGGACTACTGTAAGCAGAGTTTTTCAAACTTTGTTGCATAAAATGACACTCCAGGAGCCCACTGAACACTTCCATTGCTGAGACCTCCATTCCCATCAGTTTAGATCCATTCAGTTTGCGCGGGGCTCAGATGATCCTGATGATGGGGATTGGCGGACCACACTTAGAATAATGCTGCTTTCATACTCTTTCAGGCAATTAATATTAAGAAGGAGGTTTCTTATATGAAATCAGCCTGCTACAAATGTATCTGTTTTGTAAGTTGCAAGTTGATATGGTTTCTTTAAGTAAGGATAAGTTTGTATTCCTGTTATTACAAAAGCAGGTTTTAATTTACAAAATAATAATAACCATTAATTATTAAGGGTCCATATGTCCCAAAGAGTTTGCTAGGACCTCTTGTAAAAATAATAAGAAGCAATTATGTGTATGGTTAAGAGCACTCCAGGTGGAGCCAGGCTGCCTGGGTTCAAATCTGGACCCCACCACTAAGTGGCCGTGTGCACTTGGGCAAGGAACTTAACCTCTCTCAGGGTCTCAGTGTCATCACCTGCAAGACAGACTTGTTGATAGTTCCTACCCACAGGCAGGGGCAGATCTGGGTTTTGAGAGGCGAGTAAACTTTACACAATTTGCAGGGCCTTATTGAAGAAAAAAAATCAAATGATGACTACAAAACTAGGTGCTAAAGTGAACATTTATTTAGGATGATAAGCAAATCACAACAAATGACACAACTGGTAAGTTCACAAACACGTCTTGCTTCTCGATGAGGAACTGTACAAGGGAGGTTCCCTGAAGCTTATTACATTTTATTAGTGTCTAAATAATAAACTATTAAATAAAAATAGTACACCCACTTTTGCTCTTATGATTGTTGTGAGGATTAAATAAGTTAATGCAGGCAACGCACCTGCCTATAGAAATAGTGACTACTTTTAGTATTGATGTACAGCCTGGCTAAGTCCCCGAGTCCTCTGCAAGGAGGGTCTCAGTGTGCCACTTTACTGGGAAGGCATAGAAGTCCACGCTGAGGAGTGATGTGGGCGCTGCTGGGTGCACAGCCCGGGTCGGAACGCAGGTACCAGAAGCAGCACTCAGTGACTCCGCCAAAGACCAAGCCACTTTCATATTTCCAATCTTAATGTAATTTGTTTCTGTGCGATTTTTACTTGTGGCCCTTGGTGCATAGATGGTGTTCAATATTTGCTCGTGGTACCACGTTGATTGTGGAGGCACATTTCCAATTCCCTGAATTGAGAATTCCTGGAGTTTTAATTTTTCATGATCCCTCTCTCAGAGCCAAACCTTCTAATTTGGAGAAACACACAAAACAAAGATGACTGTTTTTTCTTTTTCTTTTTAAAAACTCTTTGAAAAGTAAGTCGGTTAAAGACTTGGTGAATTCCAGACCACTCAGTAATGTCTCCTTTATGTGCATGCGTGGGATTGCTGAAACAGGCAAAGAGCTGAATGGGGAAGGAGGACACTGTGAGAGAGATTCCACAGATCTGCTCACTCCCTAACCAGCATATCTTGTTTCTCTGAGGGAGCTGAGAATGTTGGGGGGGGGGGGTGCAGCAGGAATCCAGAGGATCAGGTGATGAATCTTGCCTACCATACTGTCAGCTCCAGTGGGAGGACCCAACAAGCTTTTTGTATCTAAGGAACCATAGAGTCTGTTTAAGAAGATGGGGCCACGGGATGGGGACCTGAGCTTTCTGGGGTAGGACAGGGGGTCCTGAAACTCCTCTGGTCCAAGCAAAGTCCATTTCCCTTGCTTTTCACAGTTAAAAGAAACAGTGACTTGTCCAAAATGAGTTGATTTTCTTTTTTAAAGTTGCTTGGAAATTGTTTGGAATTTAAGCCTTAAAATGAAGTTTTTTCTTCCATAACTGAGATTTTAGGCATCCCGAACTGCAAATGGTTAGTAGCTGAACAACTCACAGCATAATTACTCCAAAGGAAGAAAACTTTTGTGCAGGTGATATAGAATTACCCAAATGGGGATCTTCCCAGGCTAACTGTCCTCAGCCCAGGTGATAAATGGCATCTCCAGTGAACCTGTAGCCTTTGGTTTCGTTTCAGGTCTAATAACACACCTTGAGACAACTGAGTTCTTGGGTCTTGGTTTCAAGATTTTAGAATGCCCTCAGAAGTTGGGGCCAACCAGTAGATAAATTCTCAGTACAGAACCCTCTAGAAACTCATGGCCAGTCACCTGATGGTATGTGGCGGAGCTAAGTGCAGGGTCTCAGCTCTATTATGGGACCTGCAGACCCAGTGACAGGG